CTCAGTGACTAAACAACAACAACAAAGTATCAAACAGGGGACTTCTCTGGTGGTCCAGGGGTTAAGAATCCGCCTTGCAGTGCAGGGGACGCAGGTTTGATTCCTGGTCAGGGAATTAAGATTCCACATTTCATGGGGCAACTAAGTCCTCACCTGGCACCAGAAGAACCTGCATGATGCAGCAAAAATCCTGCATGCCACAACTAAGACCTGACCCGGCCAGAAAATATAAATATTAAAAAAATAAGATCACAAAATAAGCTGACAATTAAGGTTCCTCCCACACAAAGACTTCATGCTCCTGTGAGCGAGAATCAATAGAAAAAAATAGCTTTGGACAATCAAGGACTTCAGATATTAGATAGTAGGAATATAGAACAATTGTTAAGGAAATATTTATGGAAATATTTATAGAAGTTAACAGAGTTAAATGATAGAAATAATTTGTGAAATATTTATGAAAGAAATAGAAATATTTAAAGATGAGCAAGTAACAAGAGACTATCAGAAATAAACAGAAAAAAATAAAAAGTTTGAATTTTAAAAAGTGAAAACATTTCAGTTGTTAGAAAAACTCAACAGAATTAAAAATAGCAAAATAGACACAGCTGAAGAAAAAAAAACAAACAAACTAGAAGATACTTTTGAGGAAAATATCCAGACTGCACTATTAAAAGAAAAAGAGACAGAAAATATAAAAGGGTGGTTAAGAGTGTGGAGTACAGAATAAGAAGGTTCAACCCATTTCTAGTGAGAGTTCCAGAAAGAAAGGAGAGATAAACACAGGAGTGCCTCACGGACATGCTGTAGTCAAGCTGATGAATGTAAACTTATAAGTAGTCAGAGGAAAAAGGCAGATAATTTACTCAGCAACAAACATCAGAATGACAATGTGTCGAGAGAAAATAGCTGCCTACTTTATTTTTTTGTGGGTCTTTATAAATATTTTATTGGAGAAGGGTTGCTTTACAGTGTTATCTTAGTTTCTACTGCATGGCAAAGTGAATTGTTTATCTGTGGACATAGATCCCCTCTTTTTTGGATTTTCTTCCTGTTTAGATCACCACAGAGCGCTGAGTAGAGTCCCCAGTTCTGTACAGTAGGTTCTCATTGGTTATGTTACACACACAGTATCAATAATATATACATGTCACCCCCAGCCTCCCAGTCCACCCCAGCTCTCTCTCCCCCTTGGTGTCCACACCTGTGTTCTCTACATCCGTGTCTCTGTTTCTGCTTTGTAAATAAGATTGTCTACACCAGTTTATTTTTCATATTCCACATATATGCATCAATGTACAGTATTTGCTTTTCCTTCTGACTTACTCCACTCTGATGATCGTCTCTAGGTCCATCCATGTCTCTAGTTGCCAACTCTGAACACAGGAAAGTTGTCTTTCAAGAGATAAGATAGATTAAGAAATGAAGAGACTTGAGCCAAAACCAATTCTAAAGGAGGAAGAGAAACAATGCTGGTGGGTAGCTTAGGGGGCAAGAACTGGTGAACAGAGAAACCAACACCTTGTTCATGAATCCAAACAAATAATGAGGCTATATGACCCCTGCCCCTAAACTGTGAGGTTCATTTAAAAAAGTTAAACACTGGAAAACAATAGTATGTAAATCAGGAGGTGGGTGATACTAACATCTTTTCAATGTTCCAGAAATGTGCTAAATTATTCAGTTTTAGGCTTAGGTTAAATACGCCTGGGTAAATTTCAAGGATAACTACAAAATGAATAAAAATACTATACACATCAAATTAGGAGAGAGAAAAAGGGGGTAAGACTGAAAAAAAAATAGAGCAGGACAAAAATAGAAATAAAAATTGAGGTAACAAGTGAAAATAGATTAGCACTCGTAATAGACATTAATTAGCTGAAATTGCTAGTTAAAATTAATTTTCACTCTGGGTTTAAAACAGTATCCTGACATATGTTATTTATGAGACATACCTAAAGCATAAGGAAGTGGAAGCGCTGAAAACAGAAGGATGGAAAATATGTATACAAGAAAAATCCTAGGCAGAAAATAAACCTGGCACAGCTTAATGAATCTAAAACAAAGGAGAAGGGGCTTCCCTGGTGGTCCAGTGGCTAAGATTTCGCCTCCAATGCAGAGGATACAGGTTTATCCCTAGTCAGGGAGCCAAGATCTCACATGCCTCAAGGCCAAAAAACCAAAATATAAAACAGAAGCAATATTGTAGCAAATTCAATAAAGACTTAAAAAATGGTCCACTGTCCAAAAAAATCTTTAAAAAGATAAATAAAACAAAGTAGACATCAAGGAGTAAAAAAGGTACCACCTGGTAACATAGATGCTACATAGTAAGGGGTTTAATCCAACCGGCTCAATGCTCGACTTCCTGGCACACAATCAGTTCATAACGTGGTCTCAAAGCAAAACTGGTAGAATTACAGGGATACTGGAATATCTTCACCAGCAGAACAAGAAACTTCAAAACACTCTCTAAACCATGTTAAGAAATAGACCAAGAATAAGAAAGATGTGGAATATTCAAAAAGTAACAGTAGCAATTTTAAGCAATGAGCACATATAAAATTCTGCATCCAGCAATTATAGAATAGATTCTTCCAGGCAATTGTATGCTGTCTTTTTCTCTTTCTCCTAATCTTTTCTTCATTCTCTCTATCCATTCTCGTCCTCTCTCCCTTCCATAAGTGGATCCAGTACTAAACCATGAAGCACCAACACATCTCACATCATTTTGTACCTTACAGATTGTGTTTCAGAGCCACAGTACGGTTGATACAGAAGTCAATACGTTTAGGAAACTTCCCAGATGGCTTGGTGGTAAAGAATCCACCTGCTAACGCAGGAGACACAGGAGATGCAGGTTTGATCTCTGGGTCGGGAAGATTCCCCTGGAGGAGGAAATGGCAACCCACTCAAGTATTCTTGCCTGGAAAATTCCATTGACAGAGGAGCCTGGTGGGCTACAGTCCATGGGGGTTGCAAAGAATTGGACAAGCATGCACGGTGGTCCAGTGGTTAGGACTCTGTGTTTTTACTGCTCAGGGCCCGGGTCAGGGAACTAAGATCCTGCAAGCCAGGAAGTGCAGCCAAAAAAAAAAAAAAAAAAAAAGTCAACACATTTAGCAAAAGCCACTCTCAGTTAGAAGTGAAGAAAAAACCAAACACTTTCTTAATAACCATTGGACCAAAGAATGAAATTATTTAGAACTGAATCCTGTTGAAAAAACTACGTATTAAAGCAAACTACATACCAAAACCTAGGGGTGTGGGTGAAGACGTACTCAGACAAAACAGCTTTATATGCACATATGAGGACCATAAAGGTTAGAACATAAATGAACCAACATCCAAATTGGTAAATTAGCCAAAATAATAATAATGAAGAGAAAAGATACATATGACAGGTAGTAATAAAGATAAGAGCAAAAATAGTGAAATGGAAAGCGGAGACTTGACACTGGGAACCAGCAAAACCAGTCTGTTCTTTGGAAAAGAAGCCTCTGGTGGCCCGGATGACAGGCTATGGTGAAGCCGGGCTTCTGACTCCGGGAGGAGGATTTGGCACGTTGATTGTCTTCTGTGTCTTGAAAACCTCATTAAAATACTACTGAAAGAATGAGAAAGATCTAGGCAGGGATAAACTGGGAAATTGAGATTACATATGCACACACACATATAGAATAGATAACTAATATGGACTTGCTGTTATAGCACAGGGAACTCTAGTCCATACTCTCTAATGACCTACATGGGAACAGAATCTAAAAAAGGATATATGTGTATGTACAATGGATTAATTTTGTTACACAGCAGAAACTAACACAACATTGTAAACTAACTATACTCCAATAAAAATTTAATTTAAAAAAGAAAGGCCTTACTAGAAGAGAAAATAGTTGCAAATACTGAAAGGATGAAAAGCTACAGCAAAATGTTCTTTTCTTTCCTGAGGAAGGAAAGTACTAGAAGGGACGAGGTGGCCCCAGCCTGGAATCTGAGAGGAGGTGAGTGGCTGCCGGGGGGACAGGCACACAAGCTGACATCTGACTTTCCATTAAGACAGAACACGTTGAACAGTGGGGTTGTGCCTTCAAAGTTGGGAGACAAACTTTGAGTTATGCACCTCACAAGTGATCACTCAAGTGTGAGCAAAAATAACAAGGAAGCCAAACAACAACAGTAAATATTTTCAGCACTCAGAAAATTTATCTCACTCACACCCTCTCTAAATAAGTAGCTCACAAATTTACTCCAGAAAAAAAAAAGACAGTGGAAAACCAAAGAAGTGGGTAATCAGAGATAAAAGAAACAGTGAATATCCAGAAATGATAAAAAGAAATCCCTGTCTAGCAGCTGTCCTGCAGCATTTTGTCCAATTTATAACGAACATCTGTGGGCTTCACAAAGGCAAGTTGTGCTCGTTGTGTTGTTTCCATGACCAACAGGAAAGAGAACAAACACGACCCTGGAAGGCATCAGCGATGCTGGAAGAAGGCACAGGTTTCTTCCCTCAATGTTAAAAGAAGGTCATTCAGAAACTCCAGGAGAAATGCACAACCAGAAAAACTGCAAGAGTTCTGTGAGTCTAAACACAAAAATCCACTCACCCAAACTTCCCATTATTTTGGGCAGCTACGGAATATCAAAAGGCAGATCTTGTTTGACCTGGACACTAAGAATATTTCTTCTCTTAGTACTAAGGTCTGATACTGGCAACTAGTGTAGAGGAAATAGTATTTTATCATGACAACTTGGGTTTACAGCCAACGATGTTTAAAGAATTATGATGATAACTTTTATAATTCAACATTTGGAATCTACATAATTAAAAAACAGAGTTTAAAGGTTACCAGTCCTGACAAAGTGGTCATCAGCATTATCGCCATCATCATTTTGGCCAGAAATGCTGGGCATTTCCTAAACACCAGGCACTGTGTTAAAGTATTTATAAGAATTATCCTGTTTAATTTTCAAAATAACCCTTTTGAGGTAGGTATTACCATTATCTTCATTCCACTGACAAGGACCAAGAGGATGAGTACCTTGCTTCATGCCGTCACCTATGAGCAGAGCCAGAATCACATCCAGGAAGCCTGACTTCAGGGTCTGACTCACAGCCATTAAGCGAGACTCATTCATTCTGGTGTAAAGTCAGGACACAGCTGAGCTCATGGGAAGGCACATGGTGTGCGGGAGGAAGAGTGGGCAAGTGCGCTGCCCACAGCCTCCTCTTGCTTGGTAGGAAGATGGGAGATGGGGGTTTAATTCAGTCCCTTTATAGATATAATAGTGATGGATGGAAGGACTCAAAATTACACACCAGAAAGCTTGGGGGAAGGAGATGGGCAGTAATGTTAGTGATCTACATTCTAGCCTTAAGTAAGTGAAACTCTCACCTTTCAAAACAAGAGGTTTACTGGACAGAATATAAAGCCAACAGAGTAAGAAAGAACCGGAAGCACCCAGCAGTCCAGGTGTGGTGCTGGCTGTCGAGAGGGGCAGGGGGCCTCTGAAGAGCAGGTTGGGGATATGGCTGATACGTTAGGACTCAAGGTGAGAGGTCTGAATTTTTCACCACTATCTTTGTCTACTACTTAATATCTTGCCGTGCCTTTGTTATCCGAGTCAAAACAACCATAAGATAATTTTCAAGTCACTTATCGTGGAGGAATTGGAACCCTTGTCCATGGGTGCTGGCAGTGTACAATGGTGCAGCCACTGTGGAAAACAGTTTGGTGGTTCCTCAGAAATTAAACCTAGAACTAGCAGATGATCCAGCAGTTCCACTTGGGGGATTTACCCAAAAGAACTGAGAGCAGGGTCTCTAGGAGGTATTCGTACACTGTGTTCATAACAGCATTATTCACAACAGGCACAAAGAGGAAGCAACCCACGCACCCATCAATAGATGAAGGATCAGCAAAATGTTTTATGTTCATACAGCGGAATATTATTCAGCCTTCAAAAGAAGGAGATTCTAACAACACGGAGGAGACCTCAGAACATCATGCCCAGTGAAATAAGCCAGACACCAAAGGACAAATACCATATGATTCCACTTCTATGAGATACCTTGGTCAAACTCATTGAGACAGGAAGTTAGGATGGTGGTTACCTAGGGCTAGGGGAGAAGGATGAGGAATGATTATTTAATAGATGTAAGTTCAATTTGGAATGATGAGAAAGTTCTGGAGATGGATGAGGTGATGATTGCACAACAATGTGAAAATACTTAACATTACAAAGCTGCATATCTAAAAATGGTCAAAATGGTAAATCTTAAGTAATGTGCATTTTACCATATTAAAAAAAATGACTTTTGGGACTTCCCTGGTCATCCAGTGGTTAGGTCATCCAATACCCCTTGCAGTATGGGGCACGTGGGTTCAATCCCCGGTCAGGGAACTAAGATCCCATGAGCTGTGGAGCAGCTAAGCCTGTGCACCACAACTAGAGAGCCCCTACCCTGCAACTACTGAGCCTGGGTACTGCAGAGTCCACGAGCCACAACCACTGAAGCCCGTGGTCTCACTTGCCTCCCACTGCTGAGCCTGAGGGCCATAACTAGAGAGTCCGTGTGCTACAACGAAGATCCGATGCACCCAAGTAAATAAATGAACATTTAAAAAAAAACTTTAAAAAATTGCTCTCTTCAAAACAGGAAGCAGTGACTTTGGCGTCCTAACCAATAAGATATGGTATATTTAAAGTTATTTGAGTTTAAAATAAATGATCTCTTTTATCATTTTCTGGAAAGTACAAGAACTCTAGAACATGTTAATTCTGATTATGACCTCCCAATTTAGTACTGTTATTGCATTTATTTTAAAATGTATATATAATACATACAAAATATGATTTTAAAAATATATAATTATATGAAGTACATATATTTTAAACCCTAAATTAATTCATGAGGTCAATATTCACTTAAATTTGCCCACATATATAAAGACACGCTCAGGGAAGATCCCTGTCATAACTCAGCAGGTCTCAGTAGCCATTGATTGTAAAATGCATCCATATTTCAGAATTTCAGAAAAACATTAAAGTGTGAAGACTGCATACTAGAACTGGAGAAATAAAATATTAAAGAGAACCTCAGAAAATCCTTCCACATTGGCCGGTTAATAAATGGGCTTCACCTGCAGGAATTACATCTTGTGCTTAGAGGGGTGGCAGGGGTGTGTGTGTGTGTGTAAGAGCATGCATGCAGGGGAGAGAGACAGAGGGAGAGAGAACTCGACCGTGCACCCAGCAGACCAGAGTTTCATGAGGAATAAAATTACCAAAGGATCAAAGCAGCAGCATAGCAGCCCATCCGTATCCACAGAAAAGACACACACTGAAGTGGGCTGTGGATTGGCTGTTGCTAGGATTCATTTCATGGAAAAGAGTAAAAAGAAGGCTGCAACAATGACATGCTTCTTACCTTCCCAAGTTCTCAGAAATAAATCCAGAAGGAGAACATGGCCAGCTCTTCCTTCACACTGTAAACCAGCTACTAAAAGACACCTACAGGACAGCACACGATCTCAGGGACCCACGAAAACAGACGAGGTTTGCTTTTTCCTGTACGAGTTTTTCCTAAACCTCAGATTTGCTAAAGTACACTAAGAGCATAAAAACTAAAAGTTATATTCCCTCACATTTTCCTCATAAGGAAGGGCTTCTTCAACTCAGAAACACACTTTATTACAAAGATTCAGAAACGGAAGCACCATCTCACGCTGCGTCCCTGGCCCACCTTCTAGTTAATGGACACAGTAAACATTCATGCCTCGGACCTTCATGGGGGAAGCACTGACCAGCTCATCTGTAGCTGAAGTGCACCTACCAGAGGCTGCCTAAGAGACAGCAAGCCACCTTTCAGCCCAGCCTTCCCAGGCGATGTCTCAGGTTTTCCCCTGCCATGTATTTTCAGTCTCTCTGCCGGTCTGGCATCTTCACAGACCCGGCAAACACAACTGGAATTGTGTTTGTGGACCGGCTGGGCCGGTCTGGACCAATGGCAGAAGGTGAACATCTTAGGAGGCTGGGGTGGGGACATCCTCATCACAGGTCACCTGCTGCGTTGTCAATCTCATTAGCTTTCAGCAGACCAGAACTGGCATTTCCCAGGGGAATTCTTCAAAGTTTGGTGGCTGGGACTATACAGAGTGAAGACGCAGAGCTCCCAGTGGGTCACACACAGAACGCAGCAAGAATGAGAGGCAGGGACACAGGCAGGCCCGGGAACTTCAGAAGAGCCGAAGAGCTGAAGAGCCGGGCTTTCCTTCAGAACAAGGAGTTTCTCTTTGTGGAAAACACTTCCCTGAAAGGCTAGCTAAGTCCCAGGAAGCCAGAAAAGGAAAAACCAGCCCTGTTGGTGGTAACAATGTTTCCACTAGGCCAGGGAGAAGTCCTACAAAAATTCTTGTTTCTGCATGAGAAATCCACTGCAGACACAACATTGAAACATATACATTATCATATGTAAAGCACAGCCGTGGGAGTTTGATGTATGATGCAGGGAACCCTGAGCTGGTGCTCTTCTGACAACCTGGAGGGATGGGGTGAGGAAGGAGGTGTAGGGGGTAGTTCAGAAAGGAGGGGACACAGTATGCCTATGACTAACTCACGTTGATGTATGGCAAAAAGCATTACAATATTGTAATTATCCTCCAATTAAATAAATTTTAAAAACATTGACATATATACACTACCATGTGTAAGACGGATAGCTTGTGGGAAGCTGCTATATAGCACAGGGAGCCTGGCTCTGTGCTCTGTGATGACCTAGGGGGGTGGGATGGAGGGTGGAGTTGGGGGGGAGGTTCAGAGGGAGGTGATATATGTATACACACAGCTGATTCACTTCACTGTACAGCTGAAACTAACAAAACATTGCAAAGCAATTATACTTCAATAAAAATATAATAATGTAATCTAAAAAAACCCCCAAAACCTGCCTCAAGCTTTGCTTCTGAGTGATGCCCTCTCCCACCACCCAGCCCGGCTGCCTGGACACGGATTACAGTCTGGGCTTCTCTGCAAAGTCACATCCATCGCTGCCCCTCCCCAGTTGCTCCTGAGAAGAACTGAGCGCCGACCCCAGTCCTCAGGAGCCTCCTCCTCTGAGGGTGCCCCCACCAGTCTATGCAGCCCCCCTTGACTCATGGCCATGGCTGAATATGGCCAATTTCATTTGATCCCAGGCTGTGTTCCTTCTGTCCTTAGCTGGTGGACCTAGACATAGTGAGCCTCAAAGTTAGAAAAACAGGCACCACAAGAGGCTGGATCACAGATGCTAGCACGGGGACCAGGATCATATTCTGAGTGATAAATCAGAGGCTGAACCCAGGGCACTTGCCCCACCCCGTTTCTGCCTATTTCAGTCCTGGTGTCACCAGATCACTGTTTTTCTTGGGAGAAATCTGCTTTGAGACAGACCATGCGTGTGACGTGTGACCTCCTGTGACAGAGCCTCTGACCACGTTGCGTAGCAGCAGACGCTGCCAAAGGCAGAGCTGAGCACACGAGAGAGCAAGGGGGACGTTCCGGGGCAGAGATGTTAAAGACAGACATGAAATACAGAACCAGACACCCGAGCTGGGGCTGCTGCCTCCCTGTGGAGAGGTCAGTCTTGGTCAACAAGGCTTGGGTTGTAGTGGTCCCTCCAGGAGGAGTAGGAACGGACGCCCCACATAAGGATGGGACTCTCAAAGGATGACCTGTCTGGTGAAAGTGCTGCCTGGAATCACTGTTCATTGGCACAGGGAGGGGGACAATGGGGGTGATCCTCTGGGCCTGAGACTGGGGCATGTTTTCTGCAGGAAATTCCATGTCATGTAGAACTGAGGTCTGAAATGTTAATATGCACGTGGTCAGTCACATTAAAAAAAAAAAAACAACATGGTCTCAGGTCAGGGATCCCTGAGGCACCTGCCAGACACACCTTCCCATCAGGAAATCCTCAGCTAGAATTTTCAGAGTTCCACAGAGAAGGATCACAGTACAAACATTTACAATTTACCAAGAAACCACCCACCATGTGCCTGTGTCTCTGGACAGAGCTGCCTCCCAAGAACTTTGGGACAGTAAGAAGTGATTCGGTAAATCTCTTTCAAGATGTTCAAGGCATGCAAGGAGGAAGCATTA